ATAATGTCAATTAATGAAAAGTTTGGCGCTAGAGTTGTTTCTGCTAGTTTTGATGGATGCGCTGGCACCATTACCAAAAAGATTCCCAGCGACTGACACTCGACTTGACTCGACAGCATCCACGATCCACACCGTACGGCGTTAGCTACTAAACTAAAATGGAGGAAAATGAACACGAAACATATTTTATCGGTTATTTTTGGACCCGAAGAAATCACGGAAATGTCCGAACAGTATTTTTAGTTAAGTTATTTGGCTAGGGTAGCAAAAAACATTACTGTAACAATATCAAAAATTACAGGATTTTTTTTTTGCTGCAACAGTAAAGTATCTATCTATCTTAGAAAAGTTCTATTTCGGAGAAGCAGAAATATTTTCATAAAATTTTAATTTTGCTATAACAGCAAAGTTTAGTTTTGGAATAAGAAATATCTTTGCAGTTTCAATAAAGTAGTTTCAGCAAAGTGGTCTTTTCTGTAGAAGCAAAATAACATTGCTACGTCTAAAACATTTTCCACTGTAACAGCTAAAAAAAAACCAGCAAAGAATTTTCTCCTGCGACTTTTCTCAGTGTATACATGGAGCGCTAATCATATAGAACTTGCTAAATTATAATATCTGACGTCGCGTTTCCTATTAGACCAGCGCGATCGTCTGCAGACATCCATTGTACTGCAATCTATTTCATTCTCGTTGTCATTTTTCCAAGTTAATTGGTGAATACAGGTGGTGCAATAATTTTCTAATATTTCTCGTTGTGTCTCGTTTTATTATCTTTGTTGATTCTGGACTGAGAAATCCTCTAGCCAAAAATTCTTTACTAATGGATTTTCGGCTATAGTAAACATTTTAGCTGTAATTGCAAAACGATCCTATTCTAGTAGTAGAACGCACTTTACTAAGTTAGCAAAAAGTACCTTGGTTGTGTAACAGTAAAGTTCTTTGCTGCCACTAATATTTTTCTCCTTTTACAGTAGAAACTATTATTACTAAAGTATATTTTCGACCGCGGCAAAGTGCTTGCCTACAACTATGAAAAAGTTTTTCATAAGTTTTTTTTTTATAACTGCTGGAAAGAATTTGGCTGCTACAAAAAAAGTTAAACTCTGCAAGTTGTTTTATTAATTATTTCCTATTAAAAACCAACTCAATGTTGAAAGTCACGTAACAGCATGGTTGGCAAAATGAGCGTAGTTATTCACTTTAAATGCGCTGGTCTAATAAGAAACGCGACGTCAGATATAATTTAACAAGTTCTATATGATTAGCGCTCCATGTAACGGTAGACAATGTGCGCTGGCCTAATAGGAAACGCAATGCGAGATATAATTTTACAAGTCCTAAAGGATTAGCGCTCCATGTAGCGGTAACCAAATAGAAAACGGAAAAATGCTTCCAGGAAAGAGGTAAGTAGCCCACCCCAATAATTCAACCCATAGGCGCGTGCCGACCTTAATTATTATTTTGGGCTACTGTAGCGATATTTACTCACTGCTTATATTTTGTACAGGGAAAGTTTACAATAGATTTTCTATGAAGTTAATAGAAGAGAGCCTGGAAGAGAGCGACGTGATGTTGAAATATCCTCAAATAATGCAGTGTTGTGTCAGAATAAAAATACTAAACAAGTGCCTATAATTTCTTGGAATCCCGGCTGGCTGTCGATGTATTTTCGTAATCGTAACAAAAACTTAAAAAAAAAAATATAGGTACCTATTTCATTCAAGTCTTCATCCAGATTATTCCTAATCTCTCGACGTTAATTGAAGTCAATTTTCGAGTGGTATTTCCTACGTTAATTAAACAAGTTTCTCATTATTTATTTACTCATAGATTTCATCTACGAGTAGGTATTAACGTACTTTAAAGTTTAAGCTGCATTTAACTATTTTATCTGGTGTTTTTTTATTTTACTGTGCCTTTGTATCGCATACTTTATCCAGAACTGATTTGATCCCTATTGGACTACACTGATTACACTTTAGAATGATTGATCTCTGAACAATCTCGTTCTCGCTTTTTATAGATTGTTTCCTTAAAGAAAAGTAGTGGAAGTGTACTTGTCTTGTTCATTAATTTTAAAACCTTATCAGCTGAATTTTTATTTCCAACAAATGATGAAAGTGATTGGTTTTGAGCACGATCTATTTCCGTTTTTTGTCGAAGTAGAAGTGGATTTTTTTTTTAATTTGACTTCTTCCAGAATTTGATAATTTGGTAAGTAAAGGTACCTACCTACCTGTTTTTGGATGCATATTATGAAATTTGGAAACTTAAGTTCTGAATCGCCAAAATCGTTCAACATTTTTCTAGTGCATCCTTTCGACTTTCATCGTTCCCATGGCCATATATCTTTCGACCTGGCGTTCTGACGCTTGATGATAAGGTGCAGTGAATTTGTTTATAGGTACCTACTACCTACATTACTTTTGAGAAAACTTAAATTTTATTGAAGTAAAAGATTCTCCAATCACTAACAAAGCAACAGGTAAACCAAAGCAAGCAAAAATGGTACGAAGAATTGAAATTAGTTTTTGTAGTATTCATAGTACATGTATTAGTTGTAATAAAAATTTCAGGCCATTTGGGAAATGTGTCTCAGACGTGGATTGGTTGCCAGGATTCTTTCGGAGTTTCCTAGCAATGAAACGGAATTTTAGCACTTGCATGTTGTATTGATTGAAAATTTTGGCATTTCTTTGCCATCTCTTGGCTGATCAAATCAATTTTTGGCCACCCAGACGAAGGGGAAAGAAAAATCTAGCAAGAGCTTTCATTCTGAGTGTATGCTTGATGAAGTTCTTCTAAAATCCTGAGCTATACAAGATTCCTTAACAATAATACCTTCGTTTAATAAAAACTAAAAATCTTCTCCTATATCCTCCTCCGTATCCATATTCTTCAAGATGTTGCTTCTTTGTCTCTTGGACTTGCAGCAGTTGCTAACACTAAAGGCAATTTTGATCATAGGCACAAAAAACTTGGTCTAACGATTTTTTTTTTAAAATTGAAAGCTTTTTCGCACTGTCGGGACCATTAAAAAATTGTATTTTTCTTCAGAAGTTCATACAAAGATTGTGGTTTTGTGCGAATCGATTGTAAGACAGCGAGTTGTGATTTAGTAGATGACTATACTTAAGCCTAATTGTAGTTATAAGTTAAGCGATGCATTGGGATATTACTAGTTTGATCTTGATTTTTGTGGTATTAACTTAAATGAGGGTAGATATCTATATACAGTTAATTTTGGAAGAATAATCTCTTTACTTATCCGAGAGCTCCCTCACATACCGTCAAACTGGGTGACTTGAGACGGCTGGGCAAGTTGAGACAAAACTTTTCAGGAAACCAAATATATACCTGGCAATAATATATCCGACGTATTTGGGCGCCAATCGTATTTATTTCGACTTAAGGGTTGTCAAGACGTGTTATAGTAATGTTTGGACCACCGCGGAAGCGATAAGTTAATTTTTGTGCATTTTTTTACGCGTGTATGTAATTGTTGAACTAAAAAATTGCTGAATAACTTTGCATACTGTCTCTATACTGTCTAGGACTGCCTTTTGAAACTTTGCTCAGAAATAGATTGATATTTTGTGCATCTTCTGGAATATAGTAAGTTACTTTCCCTTTTCAAGAAAAAAATTAAAAAAATGTGTGAAAAGGTAAAATGGCGGTTGATGCGGGTGACTTGAGACTTGTCTCAAGTCACTCCAAAACTATTCAGAGTGTTATTATGTGCCTGTTTCAATTGTTTTTATTAAGCCTATGATGGGAAAATATAAAAGAAAACTTGGTTCCTTGGCTGCAGGCCCTATGCTGATTCTGATAGCGAAATGTTGGAACGAGCGATTGAAGAACGAGTGAATCCTAACGGATATTATCAAAAAAATATGGCATTTCCAGGTGTACCATTCAACGAAAAGTGAATAATCTTAATACAAAAAATCCCGGTGGTCAAATAGTCTTTACAGTGGAATAGGAGCAGAGACTTTGTGGAAAATTTAGGAGTTTCTTGCCGTAAGGGCTTTCTAATTATGGGAAACGACTTAAAACGTTTAGTAAAGTCGTAAAGACGGACGGGGTGACAAAAAATTCATGAAAAATAACTTGCCTGGAAAAGTTTAGGTCCGGCTTTTTTTGAAGAGACATTTTCAGATTTCAAGCACTCGTTGGTGTGACAATATCAAACCTGCTAGCGCTAGGAGTCAATAGCCATCTTTTAAAAAACGTTTCTTGTGTCTCTCAAGTGATCCTTTTGGTTTGAAACATGAGCAAAAGCTTAAAATATATGGTTGTCTCAAGTAACCCAACCTAGCGTCTGACATGAGACAGTAAAAAAAAAAAAAAAAAAACCTGGGTAACTCGTTATTCACATAAAACTCAACTTATGAAACCGATTCTACGGGTTAAGACTCAACTTTTGACGTGTTTGTCATCGCTAAGTTAAATAGTTTCAAAAATATCGCTTGCAGAAAGTCAAAATCGTCTCAAGTCACCCGATTTTACGGTACCTATAAAAATTATTAAGAAGAGGGAAAGAGGTAATCTTGACCGACCTAACTCACTAATGGCCATTTGCACGACTATCACTTAAGGGATATTTAATCTAAGTAAGTAGAGCTTTGAATGTGACTTTTGTTTCTATAAGAGTCACATTCAAAGCTCCACTTGGAATAAATATCCCTTAAAGTTATAGCGGTGCAAATGGCCGTAACTAACCACTAACCCAAGAATAAAAACTATTTTTAGGTAACAACGAGGGTAACAATCAATAGGTAGGTATAAAAAATATCAAGTTTCAAATTATCCATATAGTTCCTAATTTATTTGGAAAAAACTTTACCGCACCTTTATACTACACTCTTCTTCAAAATTTTTCCTGCCAAATAAGAGAAATACCAAACACTACTATTCACAAGACCCTCGTTATAGCGATCAATACCGAGGATACAATAAGGACAAGGTCATGATTAATTTGTACACTCTATGACTCGCCTTTCATAAACAAGTTTCAATATTTACTGTATTATATTTTATTAACGCATATTATGACAAATGTAATTGGAAAAAATGCCCAAGTGTTATCAAACTAGACGAATAACGTTATCAGCTTGCCATCGACTCCACAGGTGGGTGAGAAAAATATTTATGAACATTTTTGTAAGCTAGGATGATTGTTTATACAATACAAACTAACTAATTTATTTGTTTTATATTTTAGCCCTCACTTATCGGATGAGGAAAATAAAAGAGTTTATGGAAAATGTAACCATATTAATGGCCATGGACACAATTACATAGGTAAGGATATAGTTTTTTTTCGAATAGTCTTCGCCATACGATACGTACAATACAAATCTGCAATGATGATAAATTTTCTGGCATTTAATGCTAGAAATAGCTATATGAAACCTTTATCGTCTTGTATAGCAGATATGTTAGCTATCTATATACAGGATAACTATTTGTTCTCCATGCATGCTTCACCTGAAAAGAGTTTTCTAGTTCCACAGGTAGATACTTTATGCTTGCAAGAAAAAATTTGATGGTTTTTTTTTTTTAGTCAAAGTAACCCTTTTTGGTGAAATCAGTCCTACAACTGGAATGCTTATGAACCTTACGGATCTAAAACTCTACATGGAAGAAGCAATCATGAAACCAATGGATCACAAAAACATTGATAAGGACATCGAATATTTCAGAGACAAACCTAGTACAACGGAAAATGTAGCTGTTTTTATTTGGAAACGAATGAAAGACGTTATGGATCATCCAGAGTGGCTTTTTGAGGTGGAAATATATGAAACTGAGAATAATATTGTAAGATATAGAGGAGATTGAGAATCTTAATAAATACTTTTCCTATTCAAAATAGATTTGGGTATTATTGAGCTTAAGTCTTGAGTTGTTTGAATAATGGTAACATGCTTCTCCTTCTCCTAGATATTTCTTGGACCAATATTTTTCTAAGAGTTTCTTTGAGTTTCTTTTGTTTTAAATCTTAAGGTTATTCGTCTTTCTTCTTCCGGGGTTTCTTCTTTAACTTTTTCGTTATCTATGGATGGGCATTCAATCTTTATTTTTTCAGTCTGATAGGTAGATATAAGATGCCTTCATACTATTTTGGCGAAGAGAAGAGCCCATTGTTGAAATATTAATTAAATTGATAAATAATGTTCTTATGGAGGGTGATTTTCCAGAAGAACTCAAAACAAGCAGAATTATTCCAATTTTTAAAACAGGTGCTAAAGACTCAATGAATAAGTATCTAAAATCTATTTTTTTTTTAAAGATAAAAGTCAAAATGACATTATGTTGGCAATACAATATAAAATTGTCAATGCTTTCAAATTTTTTATGTAGAAAAGGCTTGTGCTGCCAACATAGTTACTAAATTTTTGACTAGGGGAATTATCTTAAAAAAAAAACAGACTTTATTTCTTATATAAGTGTGTTCTGAAAACTAATTGACACTAATAAGATAAAGAATGTTGTCATTCATGGATAAATATGTTAGGAAGGAATATGTTTCAATATGGCTTTATAAAAGACAGTAATACTTGTACTACAATGGATCTTATAGATAAAATAGCGACATAATAAAGATAAGGGAAAGATCGTTGTTGCAATGTTTGTCGACCTTAGTGAGGCTTTTGATGCTGTTAGTTTCAATATTTCACTGGATAAGCTAAGTGATATGGGATTTAGAGGTAAAATGCATGATTTATTAAAATCATATTTAATAGGGAGGCAACAGTTATTAGGATTGGTGATAATAAAAGCTCATGCATATCATATTTCAGCGGAGTACCCTAAGGATCAGTTTTAGGGCCGCTTTTGTGCTCTATATATGAAGATATTAAGCTTGAGATGAACAGGATTACTCGGTAGATATTTTACCTTCGCTGATGACACAGCACCATTGTATTTGGGTGATAGCCAGAAAACTTCTAAACTTTGATAAATGATGACATGGTGTTATAGGTACTAATTATAATTGGTTGTTACATAATAAACCTAAATTTAATACAAAATAAAAACCAAGACATGCTTTTCAAGCAAAAAAACATAAACATTATCATACCAAAAATTAAAATAAAAAATATGGAGTTAGAACAAGCAGAGAGTATCAAGTATCTGGGATGGGTCATAGAGAAAAATTTGAGCTGGTCTGAACACATTAAACAAGTAACACAAAAAAAACCTCGATGATTGATACACTCTATAAATGCAGAAGTTATTTACCTCAGGATGTGAAAATCAATGTACATAATGCTTATTTTGCATCAGACTTGAGATATTTTATCCCGGTGTGGGGTGTTTGTAGTGGTAATGTATTAGAAGGATGCAAATAGAATAAAATACTAATAATTCTTATTGATATTGACTGGCTCGTACACACACAGAACTTGCATAGGGATCTTGATAGGTATACACAGACTAAATAGCTCAACTTCCAAATCCAGAGCAGTTTAAATATATTTATAAATACTGAATAAAACACAAATTATGTTGACAAACAACGTACACAACTATAATACTATGTCTTATAATAGTATTTTTTATCAATGCAATATCAGTACTAACAAAGGCTTGAATAATCCCATTTCACAAGCTTCCAGTACTTTTACAGTTTACCAAATGAAATGATTGTAAAGATGTTGAAAATTGATCTAGAAAATAAGATGGTTTAGTTAGTTAGTACTTGATCCACATCTAAAATGGAACGAGCACATTAAATACGTAAATAGTCGAGTAAGATGTTTAATACGTAAATTTAAGGAGTTAACAAAATATTTTGAAGCATCATACTTGAAAACACTTTATTTAGCACTTGTCCAACCGCATTTAACGTATGGAATATTAGTATGGGGGGGAGTTCTAGACATACATCTGTCGCTTTTGGAAAATACTCAAAGATGGATAATTAAAGTAATCAATAATAGAAACAAACTATATTCAACTAATCTTTTATTTAATGAATCTAAAATTCTTGATATTCGACAGCTATACGTACAAAGTATAGCTCTAAGACAATTCAAAAAAAGAGATACATTAATATCCATCCAGCACAATTATAATACAAGACATAAAACTTCAACAGGAAAGCTTCCAAAGGTAAAAACCTCAATAGCACAACGATATTTGTATATAAACCCTAATGTACACAGAGCATTACCACCAACAATAAAGACTTTAACTTCAATTGGTTTGTTCGAAATCGCGGCTGAGGGAGTGGTTGCTGATCCAGGGAAGAGAAGAAATCCACAACCTTGTGAACAAACAATATGGCTGAACAAAATTAATGAGACAAGAAAAAAAAAAATTCATAAAAATATCAGTCTGAACAATAATTGATGTCTATCAACTTAGCGAGACAACTTCGGAAAATCGATTTTCCGTTATGCCAAGAATTTGCCGCTTTTTTGCCGCTAATTAAATGTGGAATTAAAAATTTTGCCGCTCTTTTGGTTTCTTAATTACGTGTTTTGCTAACTTGACGTCAAGATAGCGAGACAACATCATCAAATATGTCAGCAGTAAAAAATTAGGTAGATGAAAATTTGTCGTTTTTTTGCCGCTAATTAGTTGTGTAAACCAAAAATTTGCCGGTTTTTTTTTTCCATAATTAATCAAGTTTGAAAAAAAATTATTTGTTTCGCTAACTTGACGTCAAGTTAGCGAGACAAATTATCACTAAAAATGTCGGTAGTGATAAGTTGAGTGAATGGAAATTTGCTGTTTTTCTGCCGGTAATTAGATGTGGAAACTAAAAATTTGCCGCTACCTTTCTTTTCATAAGAAAATCGTGTTCGAAAATAAAATAATGTTTTGCTAATTTAACGTAAAGTTAGCGAGATCACTAAAAATGTCGGTAGTGATAAATTGAGTAAGTGCAAAATATCGGGTTTGAAAAAAAATATCATTGTTCAATTGACATCAAGTGAGCAAAACAGTATCATTAAAAATGTCGGTAGAGAAAAATTGAGTGGTAGAGAAAAGCTGTGGAAATTTGCCGCTTTTTGCCGCTAATTAAATGTGAAAACCCAAAAATTTGCCGCTCTTTTTCTCCATGAAAAAATCGTGTTTGAGAAAAACTTGTGTTTCGCAAGCTTGCCGTTAAGTTAGACCGACATCAACACAAAAAACGAAGGGCAGTATAAAATTAGGTGAGTAAAAGTAAATGATCTCCCACCCTTGATTTTTATGCAGCCTGTAAGTATATTTTAATTAGTGAAACTCAACATTTGTTGGAGCAAATATTATTTATTTCTAAATTTTTTGAGAATAGTTTTACATTTTTTTTTCTTTAGCTTAGGAAAACTCTATTGAAGCCTTATAGGTTTCAAAAATCAGAAAGCGCAATATCGTGTGCTCATTTATACAGAAAATAAAATAAAATTAGAAATAAAATCAAATTGGGATAAAATGGAAATTATCGATAATTTTTGGCAAATTTTCCCCAATGCATTTTTAGTTGAAAAAAAGCACGAGGGACGAGTGCCTTTTCCAGTTAAAAATGCATGAGAGCAAATTTCTCAAAAATTATAGATATATTTCCATTGCTCAAGTTGTATTTTATGAGAGAATTTCATGAATCAAAAATTTAAATTTTTAGTATATCCTCGTAAGTATAAAATGTCAGCAATCAGAAAAAATGTCAAATGCCACCCGTTAGTAAGCAATTATCCAATCCGATAATCCTGCACTAGTACAAATTATCACGTAATCGTAATCTGATTGGTTGAAATCAACAATTAAAAAATGCCAGTTTATGCATGGGATCTGTGTCATTTGCGCGACAACCGTTTGCGCGATACGAAAAGCGCGAGGGACAAAATCACGACGGAACAAAAACGCGACAGGACAAGTGCGCGATGGACACAAACGCGACTGGATAGAAGCGCGAAAAACAAAAGCGCGAGGGACAAAAGCGCACGGCTGCGCAAAAACGCGACTGGATAAAAGCGCTAGAAGCAAAAGCGCGAGGGGACAAAAGTGCGACAGAACAAAATCGCGACTGGATAAAGCCCGATTGGCCAAGAACGCGAAGTGCCTTACTACGAGAACTGGAGTTCGTTTTCCAAAATACAAGATATTTTTGGTGGCTCCGGTTCAAAAGAACGATATTTAAAATAGCAACATCAAAAAGGCGACATATTGTTAAAGCGATATATCAAAATAGTGACATTTGGAACAGTGATATTCAAAATGGCGACATCTAAAAAAAACAGCAACATATCAAAAGAGCGACATATGTAAACAACGAGATTTAGAACAGTGACAAATTAAAAGAGCGACATTTACAACGACGACCTCTAAGCAAAAGAGGGAAACATCAAATTCTTCCAATATTAATCAAAATTATGTAGACTTACTCAAACTAACCCGTCCGTCTAGGGCAATCTCGTCCTCGTGAGTTAGCATTTTATTTAAAAAGCACTGCGCTCTCAAGAGACCCTGAGCAATCAATCAGTGAATTAACTTTGTTTTTTTAAATAAAATGCTTACGAGGACTAGATCGTACTAGGTGGACGGGTTATTTTGGGTTAGTTTGAGTAAGTCTGTATTGCGACATCAATTTGAACCAATAATAATAAAGCAAATACAGACTTGCTCAAACTAACCCAAAATAACCCGTCCGCCTAGTGCGATCTAGTACTCATAAGTTAGCATTTTATTTAAAAAAACAGTCAATTTATTTATAGCGTAGGGTCCCTTGACCGCGCCTTGTTTTTCAAATAAAATTCTATTTAACGAAGACTAGATCGCACTAGGGCAACAGGTTAGTATGGGTTAGTTTGAGTAAGGCTGCATTTTTCTGAATATTATTGATACAATTTGATGTGTCCCTCACAGTCCTCGTAGATAGTTAGATACCTCGCGTTGTTGTCCAATCGTGCTTTACTCCAGTCGCGTTTTTGTTCCGTCGCGTTTTTTCCCTCGCGTTTTTGTTCCGTCGCGCTTTTGTCCCTCGCGCTTTTGTTTCTCGCGCTTTTCTCGCTCGTGCCTTTGTTTCTCGCGCTTTTATGCAGTCGCGTTTTTGTTCCGTCGCGCTTTTGTCCCTCGCGTGTTTAGTATCGCGCTTTTCTCCCTCGCGCAAACGACTGTCGCGCAAATGACACAGAGCCCAGTTTATGGTTCGAATGTCTGAGGTTCGAATACCATTCTTGACAGATGAATAAAATTTTCTACCGACATTTTTATTGATACTGTTTACTGTTTTGCTAACTTGATGTCAAGTTAGCGAAATACATGATATTTTTTTTTCAAACGCGATATTTTCTTGTAGAAAAAGAGATAATTAGCGGCAAATTTCCACTCACTCAATCTATCACTACCGAAATTTTTAGTGATCTCGCTAACTTTACGTTAAATTAGCAAAACACTATTTTATTTTCGAACACGATTTTCTTATGAAAAGAAAGGTAGCGGCATATTTTTAGTTTTCACATCTAATTAGCGGCAAAAAAAACGGCAAATTTCCATTCACTCAACTCATCACTACCGACATTTTTAGTGATATTGTCTCGCTAACTTGACGTCAAGTTAGCGAAACACATGTTTTTTTGTTTCAAACTTGATTTTTTGTAAAAAAAAGCGGCAAATTTTTGGTTTTCACAACTAATTAGCGGCAAAATAACGGCAAATTTCCATTCACTCAATTTTTCACTACCGACATTTTTGGTGATAATGTCTCGCTAACTTGACGTCAAGTTAGCGAAACAAATGGTTTTTTTTTTCAAACTTTATTTTTTATGAAAAAAAAATAACCGGCAAATTTTTGATTTTTACAACTAATTAGTGGCAAAAAAACGGCAAATTTTCAAGTACCTAGTTTTTTAGTGCTGACATATTTAGTGATGTTGTCTCGCTATCTTGACGTCAAGTTAGCAAAACACGTAATTAAGAAAAAACCAAAAGAGCGGCAAATTTTTTAATTCCACATTTAATTAGCGGCAAAAAAGCGGCAAATTCTTGGCATAATGGAAAATCGATTTTTCGAAGTTGTCTCGCTAAGTTGATAGACATCAATAATTGACCACAAAAATTAAATCCGAACCCAAAATGCGTCCAAAACCTACCGAATGTGAATTCATTGCTCCCGATTAATAACCAATCTTTCTATTCTTTGCATAATATTGAAGTAATAATTTGAATTTTGTCACTCCATTATCCAATATCCACTATCAATGGTAATCCATTATTAATAACAATTAAGTCTTAATACATAGTAATATTACCTATTGCATTAGAAATAATTAGAATTTTCTTTTTTACAATTTAACATTAAGATATTTCCAAATAGAATTTTCTCACCAAGAAATATTTCTTTGGTGAACTACTCTGTTTATTTATCAAATATCAAAAACATCTACTTTATATTATAGAATAAGACAATTAATGTATTCTATTTGTTAGGTATATACTTTATTTATAGTGAAATTGTATAATTTTTGTTGATTTTTTTTTTTTTGGATTGTGATAAATAAAACTTTACTTAGTTTAGATACAATAAGATATATTATCTGTTCAGCATTGTTAAAGTTAACTAGCCTACAATACCAATGCTTGAAGCACTGTTTGGAGACTTTGGTATAAATACATTGTAAATCATAATGCTAAAACAAATTGTGTTTTCAAAAAAAAAGTAAAAATATCACACCATTCACACACATTTTTTTCTATTATTATTAGATAACAAATTTCAACTTCCAGTACAATGTATAATATTCGCACCATCTTGCAATGATTCAATATTAAATTTCACTTTAGCCAAAGTTTCTGCCACAAAAATGGCAGTTTTGGTGTGCAAAGTAATTTCTCCAACTCGTACACTGGAAGGTCCTGAAGCTAATGCCATATACACAATTATTTGATCTTGACTATGATCATCCACACAAGCTTTATTTTCTATGGACTTCAATAAACTTTCTGCAGCTCTTTCACCAGTCTCTTCACTAGTTTCGCTTCTTTTTCCTAAAGCATCTGAGCCTAGTATACAATCTGTATTTGTATGGGCTACAAGAATTATTCCTGAACAATTATCTGGAGCTACTTTGTGATCTTCCTTGTAAGACTCTATGTTTATGTTTCTACACGTTTTTGATAAATATTTTTGAGCACTTTCTGCCATTTTATTAGATAGAAAATGAGGTAATGTTCCAGCCACAAAGCTCCAACCTGTTATTGACGTGATATTTCCTGGATCTGTTAATTGAATACTTTTCAATTGGGTTATTGGTTTGACATTAACAACAACCTCTCCATTGCCTTTAGGAAAATAGCCTCGTCTAATTAAATCAAATTCAAAAGTGGCTCCAAATTTTTCTAAAATCGGCCTAAAAACTTCCGTCATATAGTCCACTTGTGGAGCCATTTCAGCATTAGTGCCCCCTCCTAGTCTAAGCATTGTATCTGACTTGGCAAATATAGCACAAGGCAGAGCTACTTGCAATAGCAAGCTTATGCTCCCAGCAGTTCTTATAAATGCGTTAAAAGAGCCCCCATTAATTTTACCTGGATAAAAACTAATCTCGGTGGATCCAAGGTGGGCTCCAACTACCTTGGCGTTGGATAAGTCCCGGACAAGTTCGACGCCTTTGAGATGTTGTGCCATGAGTCCAGGTTTGCTTCTGCCCGCTCTTATGTTGAAAATACGTACGGGGATGCGTTTTAGGCAGCTCAAACTGAGGGCGATCCTCAAAATTTGTCCTCCGCCTTCTAGTAGAGAACCATCTATGTCCACAATTTGACTCATGATTTATAGGTGAACTGGTGTAAGCGATCAGCAAATGAAATGAGACTTTGCCATTAAATAAAATTTCGATTTGTTTTAATTGTTTTAACTTTTTTTTTGCTTGAAATACACCCACAACCCACAACAAAAATGAAAACCAAAACAATAACCAATAACCTCACTTATTCAATGATTGTCGATTAGTCGATTGACATTAGGGTGTGTTCCGTACGATGGTGTGTTCCGTTTGTAATCTCTCCGAGCATAAAGAGCAAATTTTGACGGTCGTCACGAGATCACTCATCTAGGCCGAGATTCTAAAATCACGATTCGACACACGACTCGACAACGATACCGGCCTTGTCGTCTCGAATGGTATAATTCCAAGGAGATTTCTAACCTAGAATCGTCGGAAAAATCGTCTCGATGTCGAGTCGTATGTCGAATCGTGATTTTAGAATCCCCGGCCTAGAGGCTTTTCGTAGATTGTCCTTGCGTTCGGTATTTTGCTCGAAGATCAGAGCGTGCTGAGCGGAGTCGTAATCACGTGACCAGCGAGGGAACAGAGCAGTTGTACGCTAAATAAAAGTGCCAGAAATTTTAATAAACGAACGCGAATGAGGCTGCACCGAGTACACTTTTTGAATAAACGAACGGTAAAGTCATGCTCGGAGAACTCAGACCAAAATAACGAACGCACGGTGTATTGTTGCAGAACAAATGTAGACAATCCAAATCGAACATTGTAAAATTGAAAAAGTGATATAGTGTCGAGTGTTTTACAACGCCGTAAATCAGACAAAAGAAGAGCTTTAAAGTGGATGAACATCGTTTGCACTTTTATTTTTATAATATGTTTCATCCGGCAACCTCTCTCAATGAAATTGCAAAGGAATATGCAATGAACTATAACCAAAAACTGGAATGCTAACACATAAGGACGAACTTGAAGCCTAGTGCGGCTGCTGCGGAGGGGATACCTGTTTTTGTCGCACTCATTATGTTAAATGGCGAAAATTGCTTCCAACACGTATTCCAATTGATGAAACCTGTGAAGGGAAATATGACAAAACTTTCGAAAACGTCATATGTCAGCGAGCAACAGAAAAAAACAACATTCCCCTTGTGGCATCTGTCTTTCATGGCTTCATTTTTTTGGCAGATATGGCAATGTGTGCACATTCCAGTTTTTAGCTATAGTTCATTGGGAATATGTCAAGTATAATCTAACATAACCCCAAACGAAACTGCGGTAAGTTCAAGTAATATGTAAAGTATCAGTTTGCTCTTTGTCAAATTACATGTTACAAAGAAAGAAGGAACGATTCATTCTGAACTGGCCCCTGAATAAGAATATGACGCAAGCCTGTCACAAACTTGCTTCTCATTGGACGCTCACCTGCAGCCTACAAGTGACGCGCGCAGTCCAGGTAATAGGAGATCGGTCTATTACGTAATATATTTTTTTTACTACTAACCTGAGAAATTGTCATTATTCAATCTATTTTTCTAGGAAAAAATTGAATTTCTCTCCCTAGGTGAATAATGAAAATAATGAAAAAATACCTAGGTTAATAATGAAAATGACGTCATGACGCAAGGATATTGTCATGTTTCTATTGGTTCAATTTCATTTCCATACGTCAATTTGAAAAAAAATACAGGTTTCTGTAGGTACATAGGAAGTTATCATAAGCTGTTGATAGAGGGCAGCACTTTCAAGAGGGCGTTCAAAAAAAATAATTGGAGCACAGATTTTAAACAAATTTTTCATTTTCTACTAGCAGTAGTAAAAAAAATTCTATATATTCCTCGGTAGAGAAAGTCATTATATACCTCACTCATTATAAACCTCGGCGCGAGCGCCTCGGTTTATAAAAGCGCTCGGTATATAAGGACCAACTTCTCTACCTAGGTATATAATATACTATATTTATTATTATTATTATATTATTAAATTATAACTCCCATATATTAAGCTCATAAATAGCAGCTCCTAGCAGATTTTTCTGATTTTTGGAGCAGGTAGCAAGTACAAATGAACAGCCTAATCTTTTTTCACGTGTCACATCACGTAAAGGATAATACACACTACTAAGAATTGCTTATCGGCCTCGTTTTTGGTAATCGCCGCCATATTGGTGTGTCACCATTTCCGACGCTTTTGAGCACGCTATCGAGCTTTTGCGCGCCCAAATGCTTCAAGCGCGTGTTCGTGTTCCAGCCGTACTGCGCTTCGAGAGCTGCTAACTTTTGCGTTTCAAACACAGAACACTGTGCTGCACCGTGCTTGAAGCACACAGCTGGAAAGCGGCTTAAGTCGTCGTCGTCAGCTGTTTGCACTAGCGGTCGTAGTTTAGAATTTAAATTTATGATGAACAATATTATTTAATTTTGATTAACATAAGCCGTGCTCGTTTTTGTCATCTTTTTCGTCGATTTGCTCCGAAATTTTGACAAGCACGTGATTTGTAAATTGAAACTGTCTGATCCCATCACGTGCCTGTCAAAATTTCAGAGTAAATCGATGAAAAAGATGTAACGAACACGGCCATAATAAGCAAAGAGAAAGATGAAAACGAGATCTAAAAAAGATTAAAAATAATTGGTGTAGAAGTTAATTAATGTAGTAAAACCAAGTAGGTATGCATAAAGCAAAAGCCCGCGGAACTATAACGTGTAGTGCGTAGTGCAAACATCCTACGTCCAGGCAAGAAAGGACATGTTGCCTATGTCACCATTGGTGGTTTGGCGTGGTGGGGGGCTTCAGATTTAGGCCTTATGAGGATAGGCTATCCTGTTAGTAATAGGTTCCACCAAAATTAAGAATGGTACATGCACATGTCTGCGCGGAGTTCTGACGTCGAAGCCAGCGGGCACACTATTATTTCGATTTATTTGGTTTTGAAATAGATCTGATTTAGGTAGGCTACTGAAATGACTCGACCCAACTCACCCAACTTCTCGTCGTTGTTATGGCATCGGCACCCTTGATGGACATACCAATGCGCAACTTGCGGCGAAACACGTGCGTGTACTTAAGTTTGGTGGACTCTACAATTTCAACCTCAATTTCGGAAAAAGTTCATCATCTTTTAGTCCATGACATAAGTAAGAGAGAGATAGACCTATAAAATGGCAACACTGTTTAGTGGCGGCGTGTTCAGTTTCCTCTGAATTTTTCCCAGAATTCAATAGAAGTTTCACTCATAGGGTTGCCAGATTTAGGTGTGATTACCACGCATTTCCACTTGTTGCCACGCACCACTCTAAGGTACCCCAATGCCCCGCTTTTTAAATTCAAAGGCAAATACAAGAATAGAGCTTTTTGGAAAACGCCTAATAATGGTTAAACCCGACAACGCTGTGACACAGGGGTCATACATTTTCTATCATAAAATGATAGTTGTAGTTTTCCTTCCCATATAAAGTCCGTCGATTTTAATCTGATACTCGGAAGGAATGTGAGCTGTGACACCCTACATTAGAACGCCAATGGTCACCTGACGTCACACCTGTTTTTGCCAATTATGCTTCACCCTCTCGCTCCTCATACGGCAAGTTTCAGATAAAAAAAATCGACGAACAATACCTATTAAAGTCTGTTTTTTTAAATTTTTATTTAAGATAAAACATGCTATGATAAAACCCCTGTGCTGGGATCACGACAAGTAGAATTACGTCAGGTTGCCTAGCAACCGTCATCATCGCCTGTACTATACGCGATAAATAACTCACGGGTGACGTCATGAAAGTAGAATTCTACTTGTCGTGATCCCAGCTCAGGTCAAAAATTTAGTAACTATTTCACGTAAAGCATTGATAATAGACCTATCTATAGTCTGGCTAGCCAAACGGCGAACTGCAATAGAATTTGCTGCTTTGCCAAACTTGTCAGAAACAATAATAAACAGCTCAGACCAATCAGTGTAGTTCAACGCCGGTAGGGGTATTTGCCCTCGGAGTAGTTGTTTCTGACTGGTCAACGAAGTTCAATTTTGCTTGGACAGGGAGCTTCAGCCTATGTCCTTCTGATGAGTCCTAACAAGGACGAAACGCGTCAAGGATTGGCACGGGAAGTCTGGGTCCACTGCTCAGTGGGTCGATTCCCAAACAGGACCGTTGTGTTCCTGTATTCACGTTGGTCATTACCTGAAAAAATCTCTCTAACAATTTTCATTGCCAACGAAAGCTCAGACCAATCAGTGTAGTTCAACGCCGGTAGGGGTATTTGCCCTCGGAGTAGTTGTTTCTGACTGGTCAACGAAGTTCAATTTTGCTTGGACAGGGAGCTTCAGCCTATGTCCTTCTGATGAGTCCTAACAAGGACGAAACGCGTCAAGGATTGGCACGGGAAGTCTGGGTCCACTGCTCAGTGGGTCGATTCCCAAACAGGACCGTTGTGTTCCTGTATTCACGTTGGTCATTACCGGAAAAAATCTCTCTAACAATTTTCATTGCCAACGAAAGCTCAGACCAATCAGTGTAGTTCAACGCCGGTAGGGGTATTTGCCCTCGGAGTAGTTGTTTCTGACTGGTCAACGAAGTTCAATTTTGCTTGGACAGGGAGCTTCAGCCTATGTCCTTCTGATGAGTCCTAACAAGGACGAAACGCGTCAAGGATTGGCACGGGAAGTCTGGGTCCACTGCTCAGTGGGTCGATTCCCAAACAGGACCGTTGTGTTCCTGTATTCACGTTGGTCATTACCTGAAAAAATCTCTCTAACAATAATAAACAAGTTGGTGACATATTCTTTTTTGCTATTTAAGCATGTTTATTATTTTGAAACAGAAAAAAATCCGGCAACATTGCGAAATGATGGATGTGGAGAGGCGTGATCATTCAGAGGCATGATTCTATTGGTTAGAGCCTAAGGTTAGAGCTTGAACGACAGCACAGTGGCGTCGCTATTGGCGAAACTTTAAAAAAAATTCTAATAATTTTATTGGTCCATTTCCTTGGGTTTTTCGGTGCCACTGAACCCAAAGACATGGCTGTCATCAAGCGGTGTCAGTTGAGGTGTCAGTGAATATTCTTGTTACGCCCCACTTTTCTTCCCCCTTTCGTCTGTATCAACTTACCACTTGCCAGACTATATTTTTACCTGTATGCACGCGCAACACGAGGCAATGCATTTTTATTGGCTAACTAGTACAGGTGTGAAGTAATCCGTT